TTTTTCCCCCTTTTTTTATTACTTTTTTGTTTGATGATGAGCATTTTACATTTGAACCCCATTTTCTCTTATATTTTCTACTTTATTTTGTTTCTGAACTAAATACTGAAAAATCTCACCTATCTAATCTCAGGTATGTCGTTTACTTCAATGTAATTGTAATTTAAAGCTTCAATTTGTTGCTCTCTCTCTATCTGTACCCATTTGGCGTTGTCGGTTGCGTCCAAGTCACAGCAACCTCTTGATTTTCCTTTCGGTCTGGTTAGTTAATTATCTGATGAAATTCCTGAAATTCTGCTAAGTAGAGGACTAGTCCTGAAATTCCAAGAATTTTACAGAGGTTCACAAAAAAATTATCTGATGAAAATCTACAGAACTTGACGGAAGTTGTTGAGTTCATGGTGAGGATGATGGAAACAATATGTTGAAGAACTAGGTGGGAATGGGATAGAATCAATCCGTAGGGACTTGAAGTACTAATAGTTGTTGAACTACCTCATCCTCCTAGCTTGAAAGCTTTGTAAATTTTGCACAAACAGGAACCAAAATCTCTGTTTGCACTTTAGGAACTCATACAATTGACTAGTGTCTTGACATAGTGAAAGAGTGAGTCAAGATAATTTGAATAAAGCAATTGGCTTTTTCTCAACAAACTTATATTTTGATGGTCATCGAGGTCATTGATATATTCTATGATAGCCAGTCACCATATGTTTTCACTAATCATTTTGAGAACACTTCTGTTAGCAATTACAAAATTTCATACCCTTGACCAGTCATGATAATATGAACAGTGAAATAGTGACTCAAGAAAATTTGAATAAAGCCATTGATTTTTTTTTATTAAAAGCAAACTAATGTTTTCATGGTCAACTTATTCATGAAATTATGGTAGCTGAATATCGTCAGCTAACTGTTCTGAGAGTTTTGAGTTACTGACAATCATATTTATCTATATTACTCTCAATATATTTGCTGTCTGTTCCACCTTTGTTAGTTTGCTTATGACATATTTTTCTCTTGTTGTAAGCTACTGTTTAAGCACCTATTTTGCTTCTTTTCATCATCTCTTGCTGATGAAATGTATGCACTTCGCTATTTGAATATAAGACAGTCACTGATTAATGTTGTTTTTTTTGAGGTTTTATTTTACGTAATATATTTTTTCGTTCATATGCTGTTGCTTAGTGGATGAGGCAACTTATAGCTCTCTTCCCTATAACTTATTGCAGCATGTGAGTTTGAATCAAAATGGAAAAGTTTTTCGTGGAAACTGCTCCGGAAAAGGAAAAATGACAAGACGGGTAAACAGCTTCTTCTGTTGCATCACAGGCAAGTAGCTCTAAATAGAGTCAAAGATTCAATCAATTGTAGTCACCTAGAAATTGACTGGCAATTGAGTCCTTCCTGATTCATAAATTCCATTTTCTTTATCTTTTTCTCTTTCTGCTTATTGTATTTGTATTATTCCTCCATGTGTTACTGGAGGCAAGGGACGTAATGTATAACTAGCCTTGAACCCATGCAATGCATGAATAAATATTGAAAAAAAACTGTAATAGAATTAATAATTATTATTGTATATCTTTGGACTATTACATTACATGTAAATTAAATATGGTTACAAATTAAATTTTGATTAATAACCAAAATGTTAACACAAACTTTATTGGCGGCATTATGCTCTGTGTACCAAATTTAGGTTAATAGTGGAAAAACTATGCATCATATTTCACTAGTTTTGTGCTTTTTTATGATAATCTTTCTTAAAAACAGGAAACATTTTTAATGTATACAATCAGTACTAAGTAGCTTAATTAATTACAAAATTTATATTATTGTCTTCCCCATTTTTTAGTTGCAAAACATATGTTTTATGTGAGATGATTCTCTAGTACTAGGTAGCTTATTTGATCTGCCTCTCTACTTAACAATCATAGATTCATGAAGTTCATATAGTTCATATAGTGAGGTGGAAACTAATCCAGTTCTATTTTAAGGTTTCTGTTTAAATTTTTTGTGATTATTTTCTGTTGAATATTAAGGTTTCTGTTTTTTCCCATTTTGATTTTATGGAGAATTGAATTTTTCAGACAGATCATCAGGCCATTGATATCCTTCTAGTAGAGATTGATATATAAGAGCTTTTTGCTTTCAAACATTGCTAGGGAAGGAAGGTTAAGCTTGCTCTTTGTGAAGGTAATTTCTAATCTTTGAATATGCAAGCTTGCATTGTTAGGAAAATTCTATTTTTGTCTCAAATAAATTTCATTCATACGCAAGCTTGGAAGTCCAAATAAATTTATAGATTTAGACAGGTTAATATAAAATTTAAATGAATATAATTGAACAAATTTATAGATTTGAATTGAATTTGTCACCATTAACTTTTTATTTATTTATTTTAGAGGTGCACAATGTAGATTTCTCTTAGTACAAGATATTAAGGAATGTTTGATTTGACCCTCATCTAAATTGAGAGCGGTTGTCAGTGATGTGTCTACATATATAATTTATGGTTTTGATTACTCTTAATGTCATAATTTTATAATATATGAGTTAATAACCATAAAAAAAAATTGAATTATAACCACACGTACTTAATATATAATTAAAAAATTCTTTAGTTATAATTAAAATAATATCATAATTAAAATTACAATAAATCATAATTGATATCATAATAAGTGATAATCAATATATATATATATATATAAAAAAAAAAAAAAAAAAAAAAAAAGAGTATAATCCAAGGTGTATATATACACACCCAAAATTTCCCTAGAATTTAAGATGACTTCATCATAGAGATATGTTTCAGCTAGCTCTAACAACCAGGTTGTCGAGAAGGCTTGTTATGATGTAATCGGAATGAATGAGTAATTAATATAATGGTCTATTACACCATCTGCACCTTTAGATGCATCTAGATTTGGTGCAAATACTAATGATGAAGATGAGCACTACGTGAGGATGGATTGTGAGGGTGTGGAAGTGTTGCATGATTAATGAGAAATAGGAACATTTGATTTTCATTGACTAGTTCTCCTTTACTTGTCGTTCTTTTTATTTTTTCCTTTCTATATAATTTCACTAGCTATTTTCTTTGAAGTTAATATGAGTGAATATACTTGCAAGGTGAATATCGTGTTGTCTTTGAAATCAATATTATCAAGAATCTATTGTTTGGCTTGTAAAGATTTATTGTTTGGCTTGTAAAGTTGTATGTATTGATGTTTGGTTTGAAATTTGTGATTTTTTAAATTTTATATTGGCCAGCTGTCTTGTCCCGTTGTTTTATTCCGTTTTTTCATAAGATCTGATTCTTATGATTCATACTTTCATTTCCTTTGTTGAACTAATACTTGGTAAATGGAATGAATGTTATGCAGTATGCTTATATACTCTTAATTTTTGTAGGATCAAAGTAATGGTGTGTCAAGTTTAGAGAATGTCAAATGCAAGTTGTCGCATTGGGAGGGGACAAACTTGGTGGTTGCAGAAGGCCAAATTGCATCAAGGGATCCCAAGTCAAAGGTGCATCATGTGACTCTTGGACCTTTATGTTGGAAAGTATGGGTGAATCACGTAACAATCAGCGTGTAGTTGTTTCATTCTACTCATGAAATGTATGATCTTCAAGATGCAATAGGAAGTACAGTTGCATGGCCTAGTCAATTCATTCTTTTGGACTAAATATTAGACTAATTAATTTACAATTTGTAGTTATACTTTTTGAATGTTTAAAGTTGTATTTAGAGATTAGTGAATCTTATGATTTGAATACTTTTTTTGATTTGTATGTTTGAGGTTGTTATTAGCTTGATATGATAGAAGTTGAGGATGAAAGTTATTATGCAGGTTGTTTGGTGTATGGATATTAGATTTTTTTTTTCTTATTTCATAGTTGTTACTTTTGCTTGGTTTGTTAATAGATTGCATTTAATAAGCTACTGTCTACATACTGTTAGGCAATGTTATATTCCTGTATATATATATATATAATATTAAAAATAACTTTTTACGGCATGCAAAATTATGCCGTGAAAAGTGTAATGATTTATGGCATGTAAGAGAATGTCGTAAAAGATTATATACAGAATGCAAAATATGTCATAAATATATTAAAAATGACTTCCTACGGCATACAAAATTATGTCGTGAAAAGTGTGATGATTTATGACATGCAAGAAAATGCCGTAAAATATTATATACGGCATACAAAGTATGTCATAAATATATTAACAATAACCTTCTACGGCATGCAAAATTATGTCATGAAAAGTATGATGATTTATGGCATGACAAAAATGTCGTAAAAAGTTATATACGACATACTTTGTATGTCATTAATATTTAATTTGTTACTTTTTATAACTTTACTTGTATGCTGTAAATGATGCTCAACTTTTCACGGCATGTCATATAACGGCATTTGTGTGCATGCCGTGAAAGATTTTTTACTACATGCATTGCAAGCCGTAAAAATTCAATTTTGTTGTAGTGAGGTTACACATACTTATAATAAGAGACTAAAGGAACAAATGACATAATTAGCCTTACACACTAATACTTAACACTCCCCTTCAAGTTGATGCAAAGATATCTCTCATGCCTAACTTGCAGCAAATGGGATGAAAAACCTTACTACTAAGACCCTTAGTAAAGACATCAGCCAATTGATCTGCAGACTTCACAAAAGGCATATATATGAAACCCTTCTTCAATTTCTCCTTAATGAAATGTTTGTCGATCTCAATATGCTTTGTTCTGTCATGTTGAACAGGATTGTGAGCAATATTAATGGCAGCTTTGTTGTCACAGTACAGTGTCAATGGTTCACTGCAAACAAACCCAATATCATTCAACAAGGACTGGAGCCACATCAATTCACATGTACCATGCGCCATAGCCCTATATTCTACCTCTGCACTAGATCTGGATACCACTGTTTGTTTGTTACTATGCCATGTAACTAAATTCCCCTCCACAAATGCACATTAACCGGAGGTAGATCGCCTGTCATCTATAGAACCAGCCCAATCAGCATCTGTGAATGCCTCCAACCTCAAGTGACCATGATTGGAAAATAAAATCTCTTTTCTAGGAGCAGATTTAAGATACCTCAAAATGCGATACACTATATCCAAATGAGGGGCACAAGGCTCACGCATAAATTGACTCACTATCCCAACTGCATAGGCAATATCTGGACGAGTTTGAAATAAATATATTAGTCTTCCCACAAAATCACCAACACCACTACAAAGATGTTGATTAGCCTTAATTGGTGAATCAGCAGGTCGGCAGCCTAACATGCCAGTTTTCTCAAGAAGATTTAGGATATATTTCTGCTGAGAAAGAAAGATGCCTTTGTCAGATCTGGCAACTTCAATTCCAAGAAAGTATCTCAACGAACCAAGGTCTTTGATCTCAAATTCCTTGGCGAACAGTATCTTAAGATGTCACTTCTTCCTCATCATTACCTGTCACAACTATGTCATCCACATATACTATAAGCACAATTACCTTATTTGCATGACGTTTGACAAACATTGTGTGATCTGCATTGCTTTACTTATACCTGAACGTCAACATAGCCTTCAAGAATCTCTCAAACCAAGCTTGAAGAGACTATTTCAAACCATATAATGCCTTTTTCAACCTACAAACTTTCCCAACTATAGACTGAGATGAAAATCCTGGTGGTACATCCATATATACCTCCTCCTCCAAATCACCATGCAGAAATGCATTCTTCACGTCTGATTACTATAAAGGCTATCCCAAATTAGCTACACATGAGAGAATAGCTCGAATGGAATTCATCTTTGCCACAGGAGCAAAGGTTTATTGGTAATCAATTCCATATGTCTGAGTAAACCCCTTGGGCACTAATCGTGCTTTGTACTATTCAATTGTTCCATCTGCTTTCTTCTTGAAGGTGAACACCCACTTACACCCTACAAGCTTTTTTTCACAAGGAAGAGGAACCAACTCCCAAGTGTTATTCTTACTTAAAGCTTGCATCTCTTTGACTATAGCTACTTTCCACTTAGGATCATTGATAGCTTCCTTCCAACCTTAGGGAATACATGCAAAAGACAAAGACAAAACAAAAGCATGATATGTAGAAGACAATGAATCATATGACACAAATTTGGAAATGAGGTGTTGAGTACAAGCCCTAACCCCCTTTCTAAGAGCAATAGGAAAACTCGACTCATTGACAACAGGACTCTCAACTACAGGTAGAGGAATAGACTAAGATGCATTTCCTAGAACTAGCATGAGGGATGATGATGGGTTTGGTGGCATAAGGGAAGCTTGCTCTTTCGGACGCCGAGAATAAGTCTTAAGATCAACCTTGTCCAAACGACCACCAATGTCAAGCTCCATATCAAGAGAACTATTAGGCTCCCCCTCACTACAAATAATAGTCCGCTGACTAGGAAAGAAAAAAGACAACTCATGCTGATAGGCCATCTCCTTATCCGCAATCTCATTCATACCACTACTACGCTCCCTCGGAGGAGATGGCAGAGAAGAAGAAAAGAAAGACACAGATTCACAGAAAGTGACATCCATACTAACATACACTTTGTGAGTGTGAGGATCATAGCATTTGTAACCCTTTTGAGTAGCAGAATAACCAATAAAGGCACAACGCACAGCCTTAGGATCGAGTTTCTCACAAGTATAAGGTTGCAAATGAACAAAACAAATACACCCAAACACCCGATAAGGAAGACAAGAGGGGGGATATTCGATAGGAAGCAGTTGAAGAGGAATCTGGAATTGGAGGACACTAGAAGGCATACGGTTGATAAGGTAAGTGTAGACCGCCACGAGAACTCCCGACTCCGCGCGCGAGTTTGCGAATTCGTTTGTTCTTTAGCTACTACAGTTCGGACTCGTGTCACGGTTCTGAATCTAATCTCACAAAGTGCAATGTGAGACCAATAAATCACCAAAGAGTCCAAATCTGGCAAATCGTTTTGGAAAATTGATTTTTATAAAGAAGTGCCAAACATGGACTGTTTTGCCAGATATAGAGTCGCCACCTAAATATTTTATTTTAGGGGAATTTAGGAAATCCTGACTCGTGCCTGAGGCCACGTGTCTGTCATCACCAGAGTTGCCTCGGCTCAGGAACTTGGATACGAGAGGAGAAGGTCATGCAGTGAGCACCCACGCTCGACCGATCAAAGATCGACCTGTACTAAGCATGATATTTTGTTTTTTAAAACACATGTGTTCTTATTCCGGTTGTTAACCTATAATTACTATGTGATGCGCGCAGCATACAAGTGTAGACTAGATCGCCTAAGTTGGAACAAAACATTGCATGTTTGTTTGTTTGAAAACGGTTTGAAGTTTGCAACTCCCAAGTAGGCTGAGTCGCGGATTTCAATGAATTGTTCCAATTTAAGCAATCCAACCTTCATCCACAAGCATTCAGGCAGTTAATCACATAAGCAGTTAGCATCATAGCAAGCATGCTAAACATGGCAGCATACACATCTCATGCAGTATGCTGAAGCATAAACACTCACAATGTACTCCGAGCCAAAACAGAGAACTAGTTAGAAATCACGCATGATCCTAGTTAATGTTAAGATGGCTAATGCAACACATGCAAAAATGCAACTAAGATAGGCTCGGCTATCTAAGATGTCATGTGAATGCGACAATTCGATACATGTATTCAAATCGGAATTGAAATACAATGCAGTTAGTATGATGCGCCGAGCCCGGTGCATGCAAAATAGATGAATGAATGCACGCATGCGAGCATAAGGTATGCTAATCGAAATATGCCCTAAAACTAACCATCATAAGCGGTTAAGTAAAAGGGAGAAAAAAATAGGGGTTGGAAGACATGCATCGCACACACGCACGCTTATTACAACAATTGGCCCTCTCGATGGAGGGTCCAAATGATAAGCTAACTAGCTAATCTAAGCTAATTAAACTAATTATTACATCACAAAGCTAATTAACGAACAAGCTAACTAATTAAGCTATTACAACACAAATTGAATAGCTAAACTCATTAACTAATTAAGTACAAACCGAATAGCTAACTAGCTAATCAAATCAGCTAAGTAAAGCGATAAATCAGGAGCCTCAAGGCGAGAAGTATATGCATGCTCGGTCGCCTCGTTCGGAAATCCTTTGCGATGCCCCAACTTGCCTCTGTTTGCAATTGTTCTCAGAACTTTGCACCAAGCTCCAAAAAGCTTCTAACTCGTCTTGGGGACCTGTGGGAGGGCTGTCGACCACCTAGGGGTGTTTCCAGCCACTGGCCGACCACTCTCTATTGCTACAGACCAGAAAAGTGGTCGGCCAGCTAGTTTTTCTGGTTAGCCGACCAGTTTTTCCTACACTTCTCCAATTTGCTGTAGCAGAGAGCAAGAAAGGGCATTGCAATGTAATTGCAAGGTATGTGTGCACAACCACCCTCCCTATCATTTCATAAGCTCAAGGGAGTGTGGTTCTCAACCCTCGGACCACCAATCACGCATCTCGATGCATGATGGCCGATAAGCCAAATTGCACAATTCAATGTAAAATGAATGCACTCATAAACATATAAAGCCTAGAACTCTATCATGTATGATCAAGAGGGTCGGCGACCGAGAATTGAGACACGTTTTATCACTTCAAGTATGAAACGTCCCTCGTTTCTCGTGTTTGGACTAACACCTAATCCAAACAAATGCAATGCGACTCAAGCATGCAAACATGAAATGCAACTTAAGCATGCAGACATGTAATGCAAGGCATACAAAACACAATACAACTACATTGCATACTCAATGCAAAAGATAACATGGCATACACAATGCAAACAACAATATGGCATACTCAATGCAATGTGACATGATCAACTTAACAAAACTAATGACATGCAAACAATGCTAATGCATGCATACACAAAGCAATGCAACATAAGCGTGCAACAACATGGCAATGTAAGCATGCAAATAACATGAAAGCAAACATGCTTAATGGACTTAAACCAAAATGGATAGACCTCAGTCATGCCCAAATCAGTGGCCATAACACCAAAACAAAGGCATGAAATGCAAAACAAAGCATGCACATGCATTGGCCCATCAACTAGACCTAAGAGCACAACTCTCAAGAGTGCTCAAGAAGTGATAAACATGGGAGTGTGGCAACACTAAAGGCTCTGAAATAAGGTATGAAATGATGCCAAATCATTCAAACAATAGGCACAAGGCATGCTAGAGTCCTTAAGGCATAAGGCTAGCAAAGAGCAACACATAGGAGGCATGCAAAACATGGCACAAATGCATGAACCAACCATGGACAAAGCTTAAGATGAGGGCTTAAGGACCTAGGCAAGATGGTATACATGCTAGGCCATAAACTAGGCAACAATGCATAACACTCAAAGGCACTTAAAGAGTGAATGAAGTGGGAATATGGCAATGCTACATGCTCTGAAATGTCATGGTAAATGATGCTAAATTCTGTACACAACACAAATGAAGCATGCTATGGTGCTCAAAGCTTGAAGCAAGCATAGGCATTTGCACTACAACTATGCAAAACATGAAGCATATGGTCGAGGCAACTTAAAACAGTCCTAAAACATGTCAAAATGAGTCTAAAACATGCATGGAAGGAAACCAAAATAAGCTAGCATGAAGGGCATAAGGCGTGGAATATGTAAGGCAAATAAGGTAGATTGCACTACACCTATCAAGACCAAACATGAGATGGCTTCGCCAACAAAAATTAGAGTTATATCATGGCAAAATAACTCCAAAAACACATTGAAATGATAGCTCGCAAGCTTAGGCATGAAGGCATACACAATGGTTCATGTTAAGGCAAAAAGGGCAAACCCTCCAACGCATTGAAAGAGTGACAAATGCAAGTGTATGACCATGAAACATGCACTAAAATCTCATAACAAATGATTCCAAATCATTCAAATAGACCAAGCAATGCATGCTAGTGGACTTGCTACACAAAGCTAACAAGCTAGAACGTATTATAGCTATACAAAGCATGGCATGCATGACCAAAACAACACAAATCAGAGCTTAAGCATGCTAAAACATGGCCAAAAGCTTCTTAGAGTTAGGCCAAAAGCATGCTAGAATGATGATCAAAAGCATGATACACAATATGCCAGTTCATGGAATTACACTACAAGTGCATGGAGCCTGCAAGGGGCCATCGAACCAAATCTTAACAGAGGTATGACAATGCAAAACATCACCAAGAACATGCTGAAATGGACTCAAAACAAGCTAGAAAGACATGCTACTTCATGAAGCATACAAGACTAGTTTATAAGAAATACACTACAAGTGTATAAGGCATGCATGAGGTGACAAAACCAAACCAAAATAGCAGTATGGCATGCTAAAATAACCCCAAATACATGCTAAGATATGGTCAACATAAGAAGAGGCCATTAAACCAAACCTTAACAGAGGTATAAAATGGTAAAACAACACCAAGAACATGCTGAAAGGGACTCAAAACAAGCTAGAAAGACATGCTACTTCATGAAGCATATAAAGCTAGTTTGTGAGAAATACACTACAAGTGTATAAGGCATGCATGAGGTGACAAAACCAAACCAAAACAGTAGTATGCCATGCTGAAATAACCCCAAATACATGCTAAGATATGGTCAACATAAGCTTAACAAACATGCTCACACATGAGGCATACAAAGCAAGTATACAAAACACAAGGAGAGGGGATGACCCTCTCTTATTTGGGACCTCAAAACACCATTTCTACCACTAAAATTCCTCTGAGTTTCAGTGGTGAGAAGGCCAAAATAAGGTGGTCCCAATAGCTTGAAAGAATGGCACAAAGCAAGGTCCAAACAAGGCCTAAGAGAGGGTAGACCACCCCCAACATAAAAGTGACCTTAAACAAACATTTTCAGGACTGAAAAACAAAACTTTTTACAGTAGGAAGTTAAGCCTAAAACACCATGAAAATAGGTCCAAAAGCTTAATCAAAATAAAGGGTTAAAGGGTTAGTTGACTCACCCTTGTAGAACCTCTTCAAGGCTACCACTCCATCAGCTTTCCTGGATCAAAACCAGTCCAAAAGTACCAAAAACAACCTCAAGAAGCCTCAGCAACAAAAGGATGTGTTTGAGTGTGTGTTTGTGTGCAAAAGTGTGATAAAATGGCACTTTAAGGCACAACAATGAAAGAGATGGAGGATTATAGAGACAAAGGTGTATGTATCACTCCAACCACAAAAATCTGAACCTAGAAAAGAGAGGAGGAGGTTTTCCCTTATAGAGAACATGCAACAAGCTTGTTGGACAAGCTTTTGGCCTAAAGCCAGATGGCTTCTGTGCCTTCCAGCTGGCACAACTGTACTAAATATATCTCCAAAAAGGTGATGAAAAGCAGCTGACCACTTCAATTGGTCGGCCAACCACCACAAATTGTCTCCCAAGACAAAAAGTGGTCGGCCAGGTGGTCGGCCATGGGGGGAGAAGGTCTACAGCATGAAAGCAAGGCAGTGGTGTGGTGGCCGACCAGAAATGGTGCCCCAAAGACCAAGGAGACCAG